ATTTCACTGAAATTAGAAAATGGCACATAAATAAATGTACAGTATATGTATTCCTTATTCCTTACAATATAAGGGACCTGTAGTAACTTTCTCATGGCGGGTTTTTGGTGGGGTTTCATATGTTTCACAGTAGGGGTTTAGTACCATTGTTGATATTGTACATTCATACTATACTTAATGAGCCAAAAGAAAGCAGAAAGCCCAAGACTGACAGGCACATTAAAAACAGATTCCACATAACATACTACAAATCAGTTAACAGTTCATTATACAGAGCCAAAATACTGCAATTTTCAGTTAGTGTTTAAAGTATACTTTTGGTAATTTGTTTTATAGAACATATTAAACTATACTGAAAAATGGCACTATTCTGTTTTTAAATTATATAATACAAAGTTGTATGTTGTATGTGTAAAAGTTGCATATTAATCACGTCAGACAGAATTTCTGAAAATCCATTTGGTGATGGACACTTTCTGTACATAAGCCAAGTAAATACTTAAAAACAAACCCGGTGATCATTATATTGACAAAAATAGTGGAATTTATAAACAAATCACAACCCTTTTGCCTAAAATTGCCAGTAATAAGATTCAAAAACTGACACTCATTTGGCAGACACACAAAATGCATCAGCATAGGGGTTCAAGCTTTTAAAAATTGTAGCAGTGCAGGAAGGCATAGCAAAACAACAGTTGATGTTTCTTGCTAGTCTAAAAGCAGAAAATATGATTGTTTGATCAACTACATGATAATCGGATGTAATCAACAAATTTCTGTAAAATTATAAATTTCCTTACAAAAAATGCATCAACTGTATATCTTTTTACAACAATTCATATACCCTGAAGTGTGTTATTTAAAAATAAAAATAAAAGCTGTTCAGTAGTTCAGTATTGCAATTTACAACTGATGTAACAAGTTGGGCCAACAACACTATAATTTCCCTTTCTACAATTATCTATTTAAGTGACAAAAGATGCCCACAGAAAAATTACTTTATGCTGCTTTCTGCAAAGCAGAGTGACTAATGATAGGAGAAATATATATACTAGAAGCTTGCTATTTTGTATCTAATGTTTACTAATTTCTTCATATTGTAAGAAGAACACACAACTGGACTGCATTCTGAGAGAAGCTTCCTCTTGCAGTCTTTGAATTAGTACAAGCACTTACTGACAATTTTATAGATCACAGCTATACCACTACGACAATGAACAATGCATATGTAGCAATCCCAATTTTACAAGTATACTACAAATTATGTGGTCTTTTTTCATTGTTTCATCCACAGTTTAATAGTAGAACTGGACCTAATGGCATTCTGTATGATATCATATAGGAGACTACGCTTATAATAAAAAACAACTAATACATGCACCTTTATTTTATGTCATATGCAAGCATTTACTTTTAATACAAATAGTTCAAAAAGTATATAGACTGTACATGCAAAAAGTTGGATACAACACTTTAGGCATGCACAGCCACATTATAGCAGAGCATTTATTGATCTGGAAAAAACGTTTTCAGCAACCATGAAACCAAAACATGCTAGCATTACACATCATTTGACATGAAATAGCTATTCCACAACATATTCTTTATTCCTGTGCAATAATCTGAATCTATGACAAAGACATCAATCAAAAGCAATTCCCAATAAACATATAATAAAGATAAATTAAATACATTTAAATAAATAAACATTAGCTTTCTTACCTTTCTGACAGAGCATGCGTCAACCACTCATGCAATTTTTCTTTATTGTAAAATTATCTTTAACATCACAATAATGATTGTGTACATTCATGCAATGCAGATTAAGCAACATCTTATTTGATATATACAACATGTATAAACATACTTGTGCTTCCCTAATTAAGCATTCCTATAACAAAACACTGATAGGTCTTCCAAAATTCTATTAGATAGAAGCATTTTCTAAAAACAAAAGCAGACTGTTGGCCTTGTTCAATAAAGTGTTCTTAATTATTACATTTAAATTCATAGTAACCCACAACTGACAAATCATCTTGTACTAGTCTTTATTCATCAACCTTGGTTATTAAAGCTGAGACTGCACTACCCTTATAGCTGTAGCGAGAGCAATTAGGATTGTACTGGCCAAATATAAACATTATAGTGGGCTGCAGTCATGGGATGGAGACAAGTATGCATCTGGGGTCATGGGAGCAAAAAGTATAAATTAATTTTGTCTAAAAGATCAGGAAAACCATATTTTTAATGTATTTTTGTATGCATGCATTTCCTAGTTTTTCTGCAACTATATTAAATATTTGTTGGAGGATCTATGACAAAAGCACTTTTAAGGAGTAAGATACATTTTGGTAACACTGGATTATTTTTTTGTGGTACCATAATACTAAACTTAATTGTGGTTAATAGTAGGGATGCACTGATACCGATACTAGTATTGATGTTGGAGCCGATACCAAGTATTTAGGCGATCACTCATACTCGCCCAAATGCTCTAATACTTAACCCCGATACCAGAAATTCCAGTCAGAGGGAGATTTGCTCTGACCGGCAGTGTCACGAGGGAACATGGAGCTGGCTTCTTGACCAATCAACATCAAGCTGGCCAAACAGCATGAAGCCAGCTTCCCGGCCAATCAGGAAGTCGGGAGGTGGGTACTGACTCACCTCCCAGCTTCCTGATTTACCAGGAAGCTGCCTCCATGCTGTTTGGCTGGGAAGCCAGCTTCCTGGTACTTGTTATCGCCGTGTACTGAAATATAAATATCGGTACTGGTATTCGATACCAAGAAAACGCCGTCAGTGCATGCCTAGTTAATAGTACCATTATGAAATTGTGTGAGATAAATAACATTTAGTAAATTATGTTGTGGTGATTGAAAATATCTTAATTACCATATTTATAACACACATTTTTACAGATGAATACCCATGTTTTTAAATAGGAAAGTGACATTGTGGGTGTTAATATGAAAACGTTAAAAGAAAATTAGAATTTTAAATATATCACAAATAGGTCATAGGTAAATATAATATGATATATACGTAATATCTTACCCTATTAGATATATGGCTGTAGTATGAGAATAATGCAACCTTGTCTTGCTTTTACAAAAATTTTTTGCAATAAAATGTTTATTTTTATTAAACATCAAATGTATTTTATCTGCCAAATTTTACTTCAATTATAGTTTACATATTATATAATTGAGCTCTACCGCTTTTTATTAATATGTTTTTGTGCACTTTGTCTCTTTTTAGCATTTTGACACAATGCATTTTAGACATTGTAGGTAATGAGCTACATCAGACCACAAAATATGAAATCTACTACTTTATTGCTGAATGAAAAGTTTGCATTTTAATGTCTTTTCAGCAGCGCATGATCTTATATTTCTTGAAATATATTGTGTTTCTTAACTTTTTAAATAACCATATTGACTTAATCTTTTAGAACTTGCTCACTTACACTTCTTTTTTTAATACATATCAGGTCGCTAGAAAATAGTAGTCACCTTTAAAAAAAAATAACCGAAAAAGTAGATTTCAGACATTTTCATAGTGGATTTCCATCACTATGTTTCTAGTTAGTTTTTTCCCCAAAACACCACTAGGTATTCATGTAACTTTTATGCTGTTTCAGCAGCCTTTACTGTGCTATCACTGATCTTTCCTATTCCTTCAAATTCCCTGTCTGTGCCCCTGTCTGCAATTTTATTAACAAGATGATGTGTTACAGAACCACACTATGAATTCTGCATATTTTGACTTGGCACTATTGCCCTTTGCAATTCAGAAAGTTCAGAGAAAATGTTATTTAATCGATAGTGGCTAAGTTACTCTAACTTATACAAGCAGTTGGCCATTTTCCAAGTGACTAGGAGGTTAAAAAAATGTTACCACACCCTTCCCACAATAATCTTTATGAGTAGCTCCTGGAACATAGTGGCTGTAGTTCTGAGTATACTAATAGCATAATCTGTAACCAGCATATTCCAATAAGAGTTTGTGCGGAGGGCTAGTAGTACTACTATACAAAATCAGGGCCGTCTTTAACGCAGGGCAAAGAGGGCACTTGCCCCGGGCCCAATAAAGGTTGTGGGGCCCGAAGCATCTGCCCCTTGAGCTCGCTGCCCGCAGAAAATTGCCGATCGGATTGCATAGTATAATATGTTATGGCAGCGGCCGCATACGGCAATGCCATAACGTATTGTCCTATGCGATCTGCACGATCGCATCCTAAAGGTAGCTCCTCCCCTGGCCCCCACCCGCATAGCGTGACATGTCACGGGCTTCCCTGGAGGACATGAGGCTGTGCGGACGGGTGCCTCACTCACGTCCAAAGCCCTGTTCAAAGCCCATTTCGTGTGCACCTTACTGTACAACTGGTAACAAATTGTTGAGTGCGTTTGTCGTTTGTTTTGCTTTACCGATTTGGTGCAGCGACGCATGGGGTTTCTCAGCTGCCAATGGGATGTGCGGGATCCCTTGTGTGTTTCTGTACCTTTAAGGAGGTGGGGCGTCCTCCTGACAAGCCTGCACCCAATTTGATATCTTCTGCCCCATGTGCTCCAAGATGGAGACTCTCATAGTTTAGAGTTAGGACCGCACTATAAGAGGTGCCTTGGCGCGGCAGTAGGTTGACAGATGACAAAGTAGATTGTATACATGTTATTTAGCACTGGTTTATGTTGTTGAAAAGAAAATCATAAAACAATGCTAAAAGGGTTATTATTAACAATGTTTTTTACTCTTGGATTTAAACACAGTTTTAAAAATATAATTCAAAACTAATTTGTATTGTGTATACCTTTTTCTCAAAAGTTTGAAATGTAAACATTTGCACATACCTATGCAGCAGCAGAAATCCCTTTAATATTACTTTTTTTTTACATGCCTCTAACATACTTTAAATGGAGTATATGAACTACTTTACTGGTAGGTTACAACAGAATAATTCAAAAGTAATAAATAATTTATAGTTTATTATCATTTCATACCTGTCACTGTAGGCAGCTGCAGTAGCAGTTGCAGGCTGGGCATATCGATAAGCTGCATAACCACCCTGAAAAAGAAGATCAGATGTTATAGTATATTATTTTAAATCTATTGTGCAAAAATAACTTACTATATTTAACATGCAATTCTGAATATAATGTTGAGGACAATTTGAGAAAGAATAAGGCAGCTATTAAGTATGTTTTCAGACTAAAGCCTATATAAAATATAAATTACTGGACTATGAGCACCTTTTAAACTCCTACAATCATTTTATTTGTTTACTCCAAGATACGTTTATTAGTCCCCTCTCACAAGGGTACACAGCATTCAATTTCTGTATTTACTTTGCAAAAAATATTCATATAATATCTATTTAAGTTTGAAAATGGAAAGCTGCCACTAAAATTAAATAGTTTAGTCCAACTAGATTCACTTTTATATAGTATTTATAGAACAGTAGTATGCATTTTTGCATTTAGAATTTCCTGTTAAATTCCTGGGGCAATATCAGCAATGGTCACAGTCTACAAACAGGAAAGCAAATGTTTCAAGTATTACAATGAATAAAGTAATAAAAAGAAACTTACGTGTCTATTCACTAACCTCCCGAGGGCAGCCGAGTGAACAACCGACCCCAAGTGAAGTGAGCCAAACACTGTTCGGCTATTTACTTCAGGCTGGTACAGCTGATTTCAGCCGTACATCGGCTGAAATATGGCGGCCAGGAGCAGGAGACTCTGGGGCACCAGGGAGAGTTTGTTGTTTGGAGATCAGTGTCCCTGGTTAGCAGGTAACCAGGGACTCTGATCTCTCTGCATTGTGAATAGCCCATACAGCACCACTTCGGTTCTACTGAAGGGGGCTGAAGCTAGCCGAAGGATCAGGCGAAGCTATGGCTAGATCCTTCGGCAGCTTTGTGAATAGGCCCCATAATAATAATAATAATAATAATAATAATAATAATAATATAATACACAGTCTAAACTCATATCATACTCAAATAAAATAGTGTTTTTCTGTGTGGTGTTGGCTCTTAAAGCTTTAATCACACTTATTGCAAATTAATTTGAGTAAAATAGATAAATTACAACTAGACCTGCAAAAATCACAGTTTTGCTTTGTTTGTCCGTTAATATTTTTTCTGTTTCTTCACAAATTAGCATTCCATTGTAAGTAACAGTAATTGCAGCTACTCATTTAAGCAAAGAAGATAAACAATTGCTGTATTTCAAAGAACTGTGTTCAGTGGAGCATTGATTATCAATCTTTGAAAACAGCAGAGCTTTTTCAGTAGGCCACAATGCTATATCAACCATTTCAAAATGGTCTCAGCATGCCAATTAACAAACAGAGGCCATTCTCCACAGATAAAACAAACACTATTTGTATTCCAATTAGAACTATCTATTCCTTTTTTAGAACACCCGGTTGTCTCTAAAGACCCCATATCCTGTCATCTTCAAATCTCTCATTAAGAGGTAAAAGGCTACAGAATCTACAATGTGTCTTACAATGGTATGTGACATATGGCTACATGTAATAATATTCATTTATGAAGTGTAACTTTGATTTAAAGCCCAAATGATGTGTACATGTTTATTATATTTTCAGCAGTGTAACAAGAAATTAGCCACATATGATGTTAGATTTCTAAGATCAGATACCCAAACTGCACCCTAGTGACTTCTGATACTACAATTGATGTCACATGGTTGCACAGTGCTTAAATTGATCAATAGCAGAAAATAGTAGGAGAGATGACTAAATGTTATGCTGTAACATACACAATAGAAGTCAAAGTGCATTATTAATTGAAGGAATCCATGACCAATTGGAAACAAAATTTATGGAAGCTGGAATTATGGAGGTAGCTGTACCTGTCTGTGGGTTTTCTGTACACAGAGGAACAGAGTGAGCCATTGCTGACCGTTATGGCACAATCCAGAAAAAACACACCGTGTACTGAGAAATTAATTTTAAATTTCATGGATGGATGGAATGAATTTAATGATTCATGGAAGTTTAAAAGGCTTTCTTCTCCTTCTGTCCATATTACAAAAATATCGTCAATATAACGATAATATTTGAATGGTTTATGAGGGTGAGTGGCTAGGAATCTGTTTTCTAGGTCAGCCATGAAGAGATTGGCATATTGTGGTGACATTTTTGTCTCCATAGCAGTCCCGGTCATTTGTAAATAGATGTTGTCATTGAAATTGAAATAGTTGTGCGTCAGTATAAATTCAATGACGATATTTTTGTAATATGGACAGAAGGAGAAGAAAGCCTTTTAAACTTCCATGAATCATTAAATTCATTCCATCCATCCATGAAATTTAAAATTAATTTCTCAGTACACGGTGTGTTTTTTCTGGATTGTGCCATAACGGTCAGCAATGGCTCACTCTGTTCCTCTGTGTACAGAAAACCCACAGACAGGTACAGCTACCTCCATAATTCCAGCTTCCATCCGAATCACACTAAACAGGGTGTCATCTACAGCCAAGCAATCCGATACCACCGCATTTGCTCTGACACTGAGGACAGAGACAAACACCTGAGCACACTGGCTGATGCATTTCGGCGAAAGGGCTATAGGGAAAAGACTATTTCTAAAAAGATTAAATCTGCCCTAAGAACACCACGGGAAAGACTGCTACAGTACAAAGAGAAGAAAAACCAAACCAGGACCCCTCTTGTAGTTACCTACAACCCTACTCTAGAGGTAATACGCAAAATAATCAAAGATCTACAGCCAGTACTCTCAGAAGACCCCATACTTAAAGAAATATTCACTCAGCCCCCAATACTAGCATTCAAGCAACCACTGAACCTCTGAACCTAAGAAAATTGGTACGCAGTAAGCTGACCCCAGAACAGGCATTTACACAGAATGGCACAGTACAATGCAATAAACCCCGCTGCAAACTCTGCCAACATATATGTGACACAGAAATACAGCGAGTCACAATAACAAAGCGTACACCATTAAGGGGTCATACTCATGCACATCTGCTAACGTGGTATACATGATACAGTGTTCAGCATGTGACAAAGGTTGTTACATTGGGGAAACTGGCCTTAAGCTGCAGCTCAGGATGAACCTACACAGGAGCTCGATCAAGAACCACAAAGAGGATGAATATTGCACTCCAGTACGACATCACTTCTCCCAGAAGGATCACTCCATCCAAAACCTCAATATTAAAGTACTAAAACTAGTACTGCGTATGAATTGCTTTTTGGTGTAAATGTATACATTCACTCCTCATGGGAGTTCTTCTCCCGGTCTATAGTTCCACACAATGTTACTGTGAGAAATCCATAACCCTTGTATTTTAAGACTATACCATTACAGTCATATAGGGAGGTTAACACAGAGTAGTGTCCTGCAGCTTACCAGCATGGCAGAAAAACCATGTACAGTTTATTGTAATGTGTATGAATAATTTTAACAGTGCTTCACTAAGATTGAGCACTTATTTAATAATGCCTCAGACCACAGCAAAAGATAGTGGGGTTGATTCACTAAAGTCAAATTGGTTGCAAGGAAATTTGCACTTTGCAGGGGAAGTTACCCTTAGCTTGCTGAATGTTGTGAAATTTCACTTTGCCAAAAATAACCAATCATGTGCAAGGAAAATAAACAATAGACTTTTTGATTGCACATTAGGTGATGTAAGTCAGCAGAGCTTTGCCTCACTCACTAAGTAAAGGGGAAGCATCCCTTGCAAAGTGCAAATTTCTATGAGAGAGAACAGCCTATTAGCCTTTAGTGAAACAACCCTAAAACGTATAATTGTTTTTATATGTGTTCCACAAAACAATCATAAAAGTGAACACATATGAACTGTGACATAGTAGAACACAGGCACTGTCTAGGAAGCTTAGTGTAATAATTACATGCAAAGAGGCAATCAATTTACCTCTATCAATGAACTGGTTTAACTGCTAACATAATTTATTATTGAAAAAAATAACATTTAACAGCATTTCACAGATAATAATATTCAATGTTCTCATTGAATTGGTGTTTGCAAAAACATCTTTCCTATAATAATTAATGTGCTAAATACAGGATAAAACTGCAACAAAAGGATACATATACAAAAATATTAAACCTGGACTCTGGCATAGTTATAAAATCTTGTATATACTTCTTTTCTAGAGTAAAAAAAATCAGCATTTTATGTTTTCTACACTTGCATAGTTTTTTTTTACATTTACCTTTTAAAAATATTTGATGGCATTGTTGAATAAAGAGCAATGGAGCTATGCTTGGGCACCATGAGGAGGGATCAAGCAAGTGACAATGTCACTTCCACTGCAGCTGAAACAAACTACAACTCCCATTTTGAAATGGGATTTGTAGTTCTCAATAGCTGTGAATGTGGGTGGGATGATGGGCTGGTGTGTTGACAAGCCTGCAAATCACTTACAGCAGGTCTCGATAGGTTGTTACAGACCAGGTCTCCTGGTCTTCCAATCAAGTGATGCAATGTAAATGGGTGCATTCAGACTGGGAGTCTTAGACTACCAGGTGTTCACATTACAGGGAGAGATTAAAAAAGTATTTTGCAGCTCTCTATAAAATTAGCTACACAGGGAATGTTACAAAAACAGTTGTCTGGGGAATAGTAGGCAAAGCAACCATGAGACTTATGAATAGTGATTGGTAAACTTGCTCAAATTTGATTCACAGGTGTGTTCTGAAAAGTTCACCAGTTGCAAACTTTAATGGAAACACCACTGAAATCAATAGGCAAATCTTGAAAATCAATTATCTTTCATTTTAAAGGCTAATAGGCAAGGGATAATCAAACAAAAGGCATGAGGTGGTAGGGGTGATGTACCAATACAAACAGTAAAAAAAAATGAAAGTAATACTGTTCAGAGCGGAAATGGCCCCCATTTTATGCAACTTTAAGGGTGACATTGAACAAAAACATTAATTGTCCAAATTACATAGAGAAGGCTTTAAGCTATATTTGGTGTTATAGAACATTATGATTCACGGGGACATAGTGACACTGTATCCTGGCATCACATAACTTGTATGTGTAA